AATTCCCAATGAGAAATGTAATTGTGTTGTATACCTACAATGTACCAATAAAAGAATTTAAAAAAAAAAAAAAAGAATAGAGTGATGCCCTAGACCAGTGTTTTCCAAACTTGCCTTTTCCTCAGAATCATTTAGGTTGATTTGAATTGTAACACTAATAGACTCCACCCTGGACCTGGAAAAAGGGCCGAGGAATCTGAATTTTAATAAATGCTTATTTATGATTTTTCATATTTGGGGAAAATGGTGATACTCTGTTCTCACATTAAAAATCACCTGAGGCCATGCAGAAAGCCCACATGGAAAGGCCTTGCACCAGCATTCTGGCCAACTGCCAGGCCAAGCTTCCAGCCAACAGCCAGGCTCCACTGCTAGACATGTGTGAAGATTTAACATGGGACCCTGGCCCCAGCCCCCAGGACACTTCAGCTGGGGCTCCAGATGTTGTTGAGCAAGGAAAAATCATCCTCCCTTTGCTCTGTCTGAATTCTGGACTCTGTCTGACCAACAGAGTCCAGCAACAAAAGAAAATCGGTGTTTTGTGTATGTTTAAGAGACATTTGGAGAACTTATAAAATAAAATGCAGTAGCTTGGTTCCTGTCCCCAAGATAGCCTGATTCGTTTAGTCTGGAGAATGATCTGGTATTAATTTGGCCCCTACTTTTTGGTTATAAATATCAAGAAGAATTGAATGAGTAATATGTGAAAATACAGCAACCCATTACCTTTGTGACTATTTTACAATGTGATATAAAGAGAGAGACAAATAGGAAGACAGATAGAGATGAACTATTTGAAAATAATTTGTAGTCCTGACATTTGATCTCATTTGACTTTAGCATGCAACTATCCAAAAGTAAGAGTGTTTTCTACATAACCACAATACCATTATCCCATGTAAGAAATTACTAATGATAGATAATTTATTGTCTAGTCTGTAGTCACATGTCTTCCATAGTCCTCAAAGTCTCCTTTTTAGCAGTTTTTTGAACCAGGATTTAATCAAATTTTATACATTATATTCAATTGTTAAGGTTCTTTAGTCTACTGATCTCCCCTTTGTTTATTTTTTATCTTACACTGACTTTTTAAAGCAATCAGACTAAATAGAATAATCTATGACAAACATATGGGTCTGATCATCTCTTTATGGTCTCATTTAATTAGCACATCATTTCCCAGTAGTATCAGAGACCCTGGCAGTGGATCCCAATCTCCTGCTTGGTGCTATGATACATGACAAGAAGAAACACTTGGATGCAGACTTAAAGAGACAGAGATGGGGAACTTGGATGACCAGTGCTTAAGTAAGTAAAGGCTTGAGCAAGCAAAGGCCCTAAAAGGCCAGAACCATTGATATTTATTGGTGACAGTCATTATTAGGTTGGCATGAGGGGGCTACATGTGGTTGCTAGGGATACATTGCTGATGCAGGCAAGCCTTATAAAGGAAGAGACAGAGCATTCTTGTGTTAGGGTGGGAATGGAATTTGGGTAAGAGTCACTCTGACCTCGGCTGTGTTATCTCATATGCTTTGGTCAGACTCACTTCCTAAACCAATTTTGGGGTTAACTCTTTATGGCCTACACGGTTTACAGTCTGCTTTGCGCATAATTAATGGAGCAGTCTGCCACACAGTAGGTCCCATAAATAAATCTAAAGAAATAGATTTAGATTAAGCACTTGGGGAAAGTTCAGTTCACAGGAGATGGGTAATTCATATCACATGTATATGTGTATGTATATGACGCATACTTCCAGGTGTTCTCACTATTAGTAATACATGTGCATTTGATCTCTTTATTAAGAAATGAACATCCTACCTCTTAGTTAAAATTCATTTTTGTATTTACCGTTAACAATGGATCTATGAAGTAATATTCCAGCCTGTGAATGTCCTCTTTCCCCAAAAAATGTAGTGCTTTTAGCATCCCTGGATGACAGTTGTCTAAAAGGATTGTTTGGTTGGAGGTTACAAAATGCTCTGTTTTGTGTGGGGTTTTGTTGTTGTTGTTGTGTTGTTTTGTTTTATTTTTACATTTTTTATTAAGGTATTACTTACATTTACAGTAATAATCCATCCTTTTTTACTGTGCAGTTATGCACATCTTGACAAATGCATTCATTTCTATAACCAGCACAAACATTAAGATATAGAATAAATGCACCACTCACCAAAGATTCTTCCAAGTCCCATTATACTCAACCCCTCCCCCCAACCCAGCCTCTGATCTGTTTTCTGTCCCTTTAGGTGTTTGGCTTTGTCAGAATGTCACATACCCAGAATCAAATGTTGTATAGCCTTTTAATTCTGGCTTCTTTCACTTAGCAAAAAGCGTTTGAGGTCCATCCATGTTGTTGTTTGTATCAATAATTTTTTCTTTCTGTGTTGCTGAATAGTATTCCATCACATGGAATCCATTGCTTATCTACTGAGGGATGTGTTTGGGTTGTGTACAGTTTGGGTTAATTATGAATAAACCCACAAAAGCATTCTCATCTTGGTCTTTGTGAAATGTAAGTTTTCTTTTCTGTTGGGTAAATACTTAGAGATAGTATTATTGCATTATTTAATAAATGTATACTTAATTTTATCAAAAAACTTTCTCAGATCTTTTCTGCAGTGGCTATGCCATCTATATCCCTGTCTGAAATATGTGAGTTACACCATGTTAAAATTTCACCATTCTTTATATTCTTCCCCGACCTTCTCCTATGAAGAAAAGCATGTCCTCATCAACCCAAGACCAACCCTAATTGTGTTTGTAAAGGTGGAATGGATGTTAATTCTTTCCATCTCATTACTAATTATTAGCAGAAATAGTTTTATAGATGTCAACTGCAGAGTGAGAGGCAATGGATTGATTCTTGCTCCCTCTCTCCCCTTTCCCTCTGTTCTCCTTCCTTGTGTTGAAATCTCATCTTTTTCTTCATAGTTCACTTCCTCCATCCATACACAAGTGACCCTTTTTTCTCCTTCTCCCTTTCTTCTTTGTAACTATAGATGTAGAATTTTTATTCTATATTTTCCGAGCATAAACAGTTATCACTCTTTACAATGCTTAGTGGCTTACATTGGCCCCATGGGAAGTCTGATCTATCTAGTCCTAAGACTTTTGACATGACTTTGTGTGGCTTCAATATTTCTTGCTTTCTAGTATAAGAAGACACCCCCTCCACCTCAAACGTTCCTTGAACTGAGCCTAAAATCAGCCATTTCTCCAACAGACCTGGATTTTTTAAATGGCATTTAGAAATCAAGCCTAGAGTAGGTGTCTCATGACTACTACACACATATATACATGCACACAATCTAAATAACAAATTAAGATATACCTTCTTAAATCTCAAATTCATAGTAATATTTCCAGTTAGACTAATGTTCTTAACACCTTTCATTTTTTTATTTGTATCATTCTCCTTTACACTAGATATCTTGTTTCTTAGTAAAATTAATATGCTTATTAATTCACTTTACCTCCTAATACAAATAAATTAGTTTCACAATTACAAGGCCAGTCTTATTCCTACTAAGAAACATGCAAGATCTCCACATTTCTTTTTACCCTTACCTACTTCCCGTGAGAGAATTCCAGTTGGCGTACTGAGGTCAAAAGTCATTTGAAATAATTCTTGCTCTCTGTGGGGAATTTTCAACTTAGAATATAGGTAAGTTTATTTTAGTTTCCATTTATTTTCAACTTTAGGATTTGGAACAAACATATTTTCAAAGCTCCCCACTATGCATTGCAGTTCAGAGTGAGAGATAATAGGTTGATTCTTGCTCTCCTCCTCTTTCCTTCTGTTCCATTTCCTTGTGTTGAAATCCCATCTTTTCTTCATAGTTCACTTCCTCTATCCATACACTTTCTTGGATTCCATGCATCAAGAGTGGTATTTCCTGCTCTGTACTCCAGAGCCCTTTCACCTTCTTCCTGATAAAGACCTTGCATTATAATCCTTGTGCCAAAGGTCGGCAAATCTTTGCTCTGATGGTCCAGTTAGTAAATATTTTAGGCTTACAAGTCACATACACCTCTGTTGCTTACTCTTCTTTTTATTAATCCTTCACATTCTTAGCTAGCAGGGCCTCCAAAAACAGGAAGTGTCCTGAGGTGTGGTCCTTGATCACAGTTTGGCAACATCTTCCTTATGTGGACTTCCTATTTCAAGGTCACTGGGGCAGGAAAACTTTTATTCATCCTGTGTGCCTCAGAAAGAGCAGAGTACATGAGAAGGAACCCTCACTAAGTGTCTGCCCCATGCATGAGCTCAGGCTGTGCTTGGATGGCATACTTACAAGACTGCTACTACTCCAGAAAACATAAAATGAGTGACCAGCCATGTGCATAACCTTCATCCAGGCATGAGAAGAGGGTGGCAGTGGTGTGTGGGGCTGATCAGCACAACTTAGAGGTTCTTGGGGCTAAGCACAGGTTAGTATCTAGGAAAGAGCATTCGTGGCTAAAAATGTACAGGAACAGGTAAGATAGCAGAGATACAAGTAGTTAAAATTCTTTCACTGTAACCTCCCCAAAAAGTGGCCCCCAGTAGCTAGGAAGCTATAGGTTAAATGCCCTTTATCCAAAATGTTTGGGACAGAACTGTTTCACGTCTGAGATTTGTTTTCAAGTTTTGGAGTACTTGCCATATGCGTGATGAAATACGACCAAGAGCTGAATGCAAGCTTCACGTAAGTTTCATATACACCTAGCACGCATTGCCTGAAGGAGATTTTACACAATATTTTGGTGCACTTGTGTTCTGACTGTGACTCATCACATGAGATCAGGTGTAGGATTTTCCACTGGTGACATCCAAGAAGCATTGGCTTTCGGGGTGTTTCAGATTTTGGATCTTTGGATTAGGGATGCTGAATCTGTATCAGCCCCCTCTGTGGGGGAAGACACTAACAAGCCAAGAAGGTCCTCTGCTTTCCAGAAGCCTATTTTCCTCTTCATCTGAAAGACAAACAAAGCTTGGGCCGGGGATTTAGCTCAGTGGTTCCACCGCCTGCCTCGCAAGCTAAGGACCTGAGTTCGATCCCCGGTACCAAAAAAAAAAAAGCAAGCAGAGAAACAAAGCTTGACACCATCTGGAAGAGAACAACACAAAGACGTGTAGCTGGTTTTTGGTGCTTTGAATCCTGAATTTGTTAGGGCATGATTAGTACACTGAGGAAGGGCAGAATGCTGTTAGTTTTTTCCCTGAGCACCTTCCTAAAACAGCTCCTGAGTTTACACCTTAATACAAAATGCTAATTTTACTGAAGGAAAAAGAAAACACTGGCAATGCTTTTTTTCAAATCTGCTGTCTGTGTTCCAGGAAGCTTGTACTAACACTGAACTTCCACCTCTGACCTAAACCCTGAAGTCCTGATGTCCCAGTGATGTTACTTCCTACCTCTGGGACCTCCACCCAGAGCAACTCTCATCTGACATTCAAAGGAGACATCTCTGTGGTTGTAGCCAAAAACTTTTATAGTCTGCTTGAAGCATTTTCATTCTAAGAAAATTTATTTCCATGTGTGGTTGGGGTAAAAAGTAGGAAAAATTCCTCCAAAACAAAAATGTTTTAAACTACCCTGTTTGAAATCACAATCTTGTTTCTTCCCTGGGCCTATCTTAAGCTGCATGTTGTAAATGGAGAGGAAAGAGGGCATTTCAATCAAATGGTTGCTCTGAATAACATCAGTCCCTTAAGACTGCTCTGCGACAAGAGCTAAAGATTATGCTGTTGCCTTTTAAGCACCAGTTAAACATCTGAACTATTTCTGCTGTCTCTTAACTATTAAGATACAACACATTTGTGATATTTGTGGACATTTGTTATACTTTTGATGAACAATGAGCCTGCAAAAATATTAACAGGAAATTCCAATCATGAGACAGGCAGCTGTTGGTGCAAAGTCTCAGCCAGATCATGGGACCCAAAATCTTCTTTATGCAACTACTGTTTGTCAAATAGTCAGCATTCCTTAAGGGTCTGAAAGGAAACGCTTTGAAAATAACTTTTATGGCTAATTTTGAGTCATATTTTTATAAGAAGAAAATACCTTTTATGTTTAATTTTGACTCTTATACTTACAGTGTGTAAAATAGGAGTATTTGGTAGTGTCCCTAATTACCATATAAATTTCCAATAAGTCAACAAATGACTGACACCATAATTTCCAAGTGCAACTCAGAATCCCAGGGCTGGTCTTACACCTCGATTCCATAGTATACCATCATGTTTTATTAGTTCATTCTTCAACCAAAATGATAAGAGTACTCCCTTACTAAAAAAAATATGTCTCTCTTCTAATTTTGAGCTTTTCAGCCATTTAGTGCAATATTTATTTAGCATCCATTGAATTACTGGAGATACAGCTCCACAGGACTGCGAGGCAGAAGGCCAGTAAGGAAGGAGTGGGGATACATCACAGTAGCAGAAATGATGACCTCTCTCTGGAAGTGCTAGGAAGGCAGCAGTGTGATTCCGGGGGAAGGATAAGGGTTTTTCCAAAGACTCACAACCTCCTGTCAATAACCACCTCTTGTAGAGGAGCCCATCTTAGATACCACTGCGCCTGCCGCTTCATCCCCACTGCCCAGTCACCCCTTCCACCCACACCCTCAGTACAGTCAGAACCCATCTGCCCCCTTCTACCCTGTCTGCCTCTCATCTTTCCAGTACACAGAGTCCAAATGCTTTGGATCATGTGTCCCTATCAGTAAAATATTTCGGGGCAGGCATATCCAATATGACATTATTTATAAATTATACACATGTACCACTTACTCCCAAGACGTGGGTTCAGTATCACTAAAGCTTAACATCTTTCTTACTTTTCCCAGATTAAAGAGCCCATCTGCATCCAATTTTCTCCTAATGCTTTCTCACATGCTTTTTGGGGTATCGGCTTTCTCTGCCACTTGGGAGATCACTGTTCAAAACAGCCACCAAAATTTCAGAAATAATATTGGATCATAAATAAGACTCTGTCTGACATCCTGCGATGATGGTCTTCAGCTTTTGCTCTAAAATACACCCAAATTTCTTCCAAGTTTCCTTTTTTTGCCCAGTAGAGTCTCAGACCTGGTTGTAGAGATAAGTAGGTATCTGCTACAAGGAACAAACCCATCTTCACAAGCTGACCCTCTGCTCCATCCCTCTGGGATTCAGCCCTCTCTTCCAGTGAAACTGCACTTTCCACAGTGAGGATATAAAAGAGAAAATGTGCTGCCCAAGAAGCGTGATTCTTAATGTTTTTACATATTTATGAGGTACAGTATGATAATTCAATTCCTGTATGCAAAATATGATCAAATCAGGGTTATTAGCATTCCTACTTCCTCAAACATTAATCAGTCCTATGTGTCGGGGACACGGAGGCTCTTCTAGTTATTTTGACCTATTTCATGGATTGTTGTAGATTATAATTATCTGACTAGGCTATAACACAAGAAGTAATTTCTCTCACCTAACTGTATGTTGGTGTCTCAGCAACACCACTGCTAGGTGTATATCCCAAGGCAATGAAGTCAGCACACTGAAGAGATCCTTGCATTTCCATGTTTATTTGTGTGTATTCACAAGAGCTGAGATATGGGATCATCCAAGGCTCCCATCAATGGATGAATGGACAAAGAATGCATGGTCTGTACTATGTACAATACGATACTATTCAACAATGAAAAGAACATCCTGTTGTTCGCATCAAGATGAGTGGAGCAAGAGGGTACCGCAGTAAAACACGTGGGTCACACACGTCCCCACATATGGGTGGAAACTCAGCAATGGATCTCACAGCAAATGGTCAGGCAATGGCAATTGCTGGCTCTCAGATGTCAAGTTCTCCAGCCAAGAGAAACCCTGAGGTTTAATTGTCCAAAAGCCTGACAATTTTCCAAGAGGATTAAGAAGTATCTCTTTTAAAGCACGTTTCTAGGAACATGGGGTGACTCATATGGGAATGGGCCTGTGTATCACTGAACTGCTTCCAACTGGTTAGAATTATTAACCATAAATCCCCAAAGTCACCCCAGTATGCTGCACCCCAATACTTGCTCCATTTCACCTCCTTCACACTGTCTCGATTGGTGGCTGCTCATCACCCCATGTTGCACCTAGCCTTCTGTGGTCAAATGTCCATCAGTGGGGCCACCCATTGATCAGCCCTGGCTCCATCAGCACACCTGACATTGATGTCCAACTTCCCCTCTCCTCCCGCCCACATCCATTGACCAGCACCTCCCACCTCACTCCAGAAGTCTCCTAAATCCGTCTTTCTCCTCTGCAGCCGGTGAGCCCAGGCCTTCAGCACTTCTTCCTTGAGTAATTTCCATCCTCTCCTACTTGATGCCCCAGCCTCCAGGTTTGCTTCACAATACTCTTAGCTCAGCTGCCTATTTACTGTCTTCAAGAAATCAGCTTATATAATATTTTCCAATTAACAACTTTTAGTACATATTATCTATACAGGTCATACCCAACCACTTTGTTATGCTCTTACTTGTATAAAATTTTAAGCATATGCCTCTAAAATATGATTATTCATTCAAAAATTAGGGACCTGTGTTACTATACTAATATATTTTAAATATTAATACATAATATTCATAATTTTTTTGAGACAGGGTTTCACTATACAGTTCAGGCTGGCCTTGAGCTCACTAGGTAGCCCAGGCTGGCCTCAAACTCATGGCGATCCTCCTGCCTCAACCTCTCAAGTGCAAAAATATCAATTTAAAAGTATGTCATCATCTCTTGTGTCACAATTTTGGAATGAAGACCCTGTCTATGTTCTGATTATAGTGATGGCTACCAGACTCTCTATATGTATATTAAAATCCAGAGAACTATACATCAATAAAAATTCAAATTTACGGCAAATAAATTCTAAAAGTAATTTGTAATAAAAGCATGAGATAAAACTCTAAATCGACTTGTAATATATTTGCCCATTCCCAGTCAGAGCACAGGTACCCCATTTGGGGGCCGCTGGGTCACAGGATTAAATGCTAACCCTTTAATTGTCATTTTGAGCTGCTGTTATAAAAGAAACAG